TTCTTTTGCCAGGCAGTGTGCTCTGTACTCTCACATGTAGTACATGATGCATTTCCTCTAACAAACCAGGGAAATAGATACTAGTCCAGTTTTATAGATCAGGAAACAATTTCTTTACCCCATGAAAATCTGTGTCCTTTCTCTTTCCTGATAATGTGATATTAAAAAAATAAACAAACAAATGAACTGCTATTGAGTTGATTCTAACTTATAGGGACCCTACTGATAACAAAATTGCTCCTGTGGGATTCTGAAACTGTGAGTTTCTGGTTTTGCATCTCTCTGAAAAGGCTGCAAGTTGTAACAAAGGACTTACTATTAGCTTCCCTGAAAATGTTATATTGTCCATTTGGACTTCCACCTCCTCTCTCCCCTGCAATTGAGGCCCCAGAAATGTCATTTATTTGACTCATTTCCTTCTAGGATGCATGTGCTCTTTGGGTTCATTCTAAAATGACGTGAATGTTCGTGTGTTCATAGATAATTCTGTTTCCCACAGTCTTTCTGAAACCCCTTTCTGTTTGAAATAATACTGTTGTATTGTACATATCCTTAATGCTCTATGGAATTGTAAAGTTTCTATAAATGGCTGGCCACAGGATATCTATTTTACATGAATTCTAACTGGTTACTAAAAATTGTCTCATTTGAAACAGGACATAGCCCATCAAGAGGGTCAGTCTTGAATAAGTATTTGATGGGAGAGGAAGAACTGATAGGGAAATCAAAGCTGAATTTGTTTTGTTTTGTTTTCAACTAGAGGATAGTATTTTGATAGATCTTACTCAAATAATATTTTCATAATTTAAGGTTAAAGCTTCACAACCTGTAAGTCAGCAAAGCATGGCACAATTGTCAACTCATGATGTCCGCAACGCGGCAACAGGCCTCAGATTGAACTTGGTGTATTCATCCAATCTTCAAAAGTGCATCGTGTGGGTCTTTAAAAACTGAAAAATAGAAATATTGTTATGCTACTGGTACTTAATCATATACATAGATATCTTATTTTGGGAACCATAGAGCCAAAGAGGTTAAGAAAGGTAAACCAAAAGCCCCTTATTACCAAGGTCAAGGAAGAACAACAACAAAGGACAACTGACAGACTCAAAGAAAACTGGATTCAAAATAACATTGTCAAGGCCAGTTTATCCCAAACACCTCCACAAGTTTGAATGACTGTTGCCTTTCTGAACTTGGAAAACTATCATGCAGCTGGAACTCTAGGAGGGAATAATCCAAATTTAGAAACACCTTGTAAGGTGATAACTGAAGTACGTTGTAACTGATGTCTGCTACAGATTGAAAAGAAACACCTAATGGCCAATTAATTGTTTCTTGAAATATAAAATAATAATTTAAAAAGCATAGAAAATGTACTATGAAAACACTGCCATAAAGGTAGAGATATGGCAGCTTACTTTTTAAGCTAGTAATTCAATTTCCTGTTATCTGAAATTCAGGTTTAGGTCATAGATTGGTGATGTTTAGCATACAAATTGGCCAATATCATTTGCAAATAGTTTGTAAATTTCAACCTCTAATGCCTGGTTTTGTGCTGTAACTCCAGAAAAGAAATCAATTTAACCCCATGCATTGGTTTTCTCCTTAAAATGTATGAAATTTTAATATGATTGACAGAGCGCACCATCATTATGCCTTCTGTTGGGTAGGCCAATTATGCTTATGAATACAGGAGTGGAGCGAGTAAAAGTGATATGTAATTGATTCTACCATTGGTTTGACTGTTCATTAGCAGTTTGAATACAGCACAATTTTTTCTCAAATGGAAACCATGGTGCAACCTATATGTGCCCTTCTGTTTGTTTTAAAATTAATTTTGCTGATATTTTTCTCAAAATGTTTTTGTAGCATTTGTTCTGCTAAGGATAAGTCTGATTGATATTTGGAAATAATTCTACGGCTTTCAATATTTATTTTATATTTCGCTTGCACATCTTTCAATTCACAGTTCAGGAAATGAAAATGGGCTCTATCCCTTATTCTCTTGAATGAAAGCCTATCTCACCCTTCATTTTTATGCCGTTTAAACTAATTTCTTGTGATAAAATATGGAGGGAGTATAAGGTGATGGTTATAATTTCAAAACAAAAGGGATGATTTATAGACTGATTGATTTCATAAATAGATGAACAAAAGCAGGTTCTATTTGTCTTGCCATACTTTAGTCTGATGAAGTACAAAAAAGGGCCTGCCTTGTTATTTCCCATACCACTTCAAGGGCCTGCATTTGAAATGTTGATTAAATGTACCAATTGTGTTGCTCTTTTCTGGGCCTTCCTGAGTGATGTAAAAAAGCATTGCAATCACAAGAAGGCTGTTTCTTCTCTCTTGGATGTGGAGCTGGACGATAATAAGTCTGTTCATTGAAATAAGGGAGGCTGATTCTATAACAGCGTGTCTGTCCTTTACTTGCCCCACAAATTCCTGATAGAACATCAGAAGACAGAAGAAACAAAGCTAATGCAGGGCTATGGAGTCCCATTGAGGACCTCCAATTGCAGTGCTATCTCCAATTTAGATCGTCTATACAATCAATACATTTATTAATATCACATTATAATCTTGGTCTAGCTCTGATTTTTATTAAATCGGCAGTCTACTTAATAAGATAGTAAGTCTGAGAACTCCATATTGGTAATGTATTTCATCAGATCTTTTTAAAAAATATTATTATTTACCTGCCATGGGAGTAGATGCATTTGTAATTCATCAAGGTTCTCATCAAAATAAAGTTCAGAGTATCTAAGGAATCCTGTATTGTGTAATTTAAAAATATGTTTACAAATTCTTTGCTACTCATGCAATCAAGAAGTGGCCTATGGTCCCTCCATTTGAAACAAGGAGAAATTCGGGAGAAACTTGTAACCAATAAGTAATGAGAGTGATGTTATGTGACTCCCAATACTAGGCTATAAAAGATGACACAGCTTCTACCTGCTCGTTAACTTGCGTTTGCGGTCATGGGCAATCATACAAGCAATCTGTAAACCAATCATCCCGTGAACAATTGCAAACTAGCCCGTAAGAAGCAGAGTCACTGAAACTTCAGGGGAGAGGGGTTGGGAGGCGGTGTCTGGAACAGAGAGAGAATAAGCTGACAGTTTAGCTCTTAGCTGCTACAGCCCCACAGTTTCATGCCAGTCACTGGCTGATTGCAACTTCTGAGACCCAGCACAATGATTCCCAAAGTGGGCCCTCCTCCTTCCCCCAGCGGGAGTGGGGACTGGAACAATCCAGGGGGACTGCAAGACCAGATACCTATATTTTATCTTTTATTGTGGACTATAGTGTAAAAGTTTTTCACTGCCAGGGGGCAGCTGGGTGATTTTTTTTTCTGCAAAAAGGGATGTTAGGGCAAATGAGTTTGGGAATATATGACCTTACATAACCCTCTCAGAATTTCAGATCCACAGAAATCAAGAAGTTTTCATATACATAGTAACTTCTATAACATTATATTTTAAATATATAAATATGTCTAATGTATACTATATCCTGTTATGTTGCATCTTGTATTATATCCCCTGTATGGAGCTTGTTATATCAACCCACTATTTCCATGTTGTTGTTTAATTTGTTTCACAGAAATTTTTAAGTAGAATGTTTATTTCTGCTAAATATGAGGCCAAAGTAATGGTATTTATGATAAATTCCAAAATTTACATTTACAGATAAATGGCATTTCCTATAAAAATAAATCCACTTTGAAAGAGATTTGTTTATAATCAGATTATCATTTTGGTATTTTTGTCTCCCCACATGGATCTGGGACTTTGGGCCTATGATTCTGCCTCTCTGGGTCCCTTGAAACAGAAGCTGTGTATTAAATGCTACATATTATTCTACCTTTCCATTAACTGCTTAGCTCATTACCTATTTGTACCACACAGCAGCTCTTTTACCATATCAAGTACCCCAGATGTTCGTATTACAGAATGACGTGAACTAATTTTTCAAATGATATCACTGTTTCCTTGTCCCTCCCCCTTTATCCTTCCCTGCTACATTGTTGCAGCTCCAAAGGCGTGGCTTACATGTGCATAATGTCAACACCGATTATGTGTGAAGTTTTTCTGACTATTTCGATTGCAGGATACCATCTTTAATATTATTTGAAAAGGATTTGCAAATTGTTTCCTAGTTGATAGCTGAGACCACCATTTTGAGACTTTGTCGAATGTCAGCTGGCACTCTCAGCATTTGCCAAGAAATTACCACAGGTTTTTATTTAGTGATTGATTTGCTAAATAAATTACTCACATTTCTTGTATAATTAAAAATTGTTTCACTGTATGTCATTTTTTAGTTTGTTTTTTTTTTAATTTTGTCAATTGTGTTCTTGACATTAAGCAATACTGCTTAGCCAAAGAGAACAATTTTGCTTACTTGTATTTTGGAATATTAGATTAGATTCTTCTCTTTAATTTAAGTTGATGGAATTCACAGATGAAATTACGAAACAAACACTGAAAACCATTTAAAGTTATTTACATTAAAATTTGACATTTTTCTTCTGACCTTTGTTGACTCTAAGATGCCATTGAAAGTCTTCCCTTCTGTGCTATGCAGACTCATAGCAGCACTCTGTGACAGAAAACAATAGTCTTATCGGCTTTCCAGGCCGCCATCTTTATGGAAATCAACGATCACATCTTTTCCTGCCTAGTAACTGGGAGTGTTAAATCAGCTGAGCATTTAACTCTTATGTCATCAGAGATCTTTGACTGTAAGAGGAGAACAACCCTATTTTATTATCTTTCCAAATGTAATGATATTTTTATGCAAAGGGTCCAAAGGAATGTCCTGATGATTGGTTTTACATGCCCACCTAAGTAAATAAATTAGGGAAAAAAATGAATCACCAATAATTTTTAGCCTGTATGTCTCCAGGAACCAATGTAAATGTCTAAAATAAAACAACAATTGCATGAAAAACGGTTAACTTCTCATATCTTCCCTTATTTTTGCATTTACAGATGTCATCCATACCGTAGGGCCAATTGCTAGAGGCCATATTAATAGTTCCCACAAGGAAGACCTTGCAAATTGCTATAAATCATCTCTGAAACTGGTAAAAGAAAATAACATCAGATCAGTTGTAAGTATTTTTATGTTCCTTGTATTTTGTTTTTTGTTAGCCTTTATATGCTTTTCTTGAAATTCGTACCGTTCCCCCCAAAGTGTAGACTTAAATGCAAAATAACATCTGCATGAATTTATGGGTGTAATTTTTCTGTAGATCTCAAGATACCATCTTTAATACTAAATATCCTTGATTCTAGAAACTATATTTAAAGACCTTAGCAAATTATGTGACTTACTAGTTATCATGACTTTACACTTTAGCAAGTCATGGTAGTTGATGATTTTTCATGATTTAAAACCACAGAATTTCAGAACTGGACATGTATCATCTACTTTCTTCTTTCTATTTTGCCAATATCTTTGGAAGAAGAAAAGATGGTGGCCACATGTTTAAACAAGGCAAACAGCATGAGTTTTTGAGTTACTAATAATGCACACTCAAAAACCAAATGAGCAAATTGATTGCCGTTGAACTCATTCCAATGCATAGTGAGCCTCTAGGAAAGGGCACAACTACCCCTGTGGGTTTCTGAGACTGGAACTCTTTACAGAAATAGAAAGCTCTGTCTTTCTCCCACAGAGAAGCTGGTGGTTTTGAACAGCTGACCTTGCTGTTTGAACTGCTGACATTGCTGTTGGCTGCTCATCATGTAACTCTCTACCACCAGGGCTCCTAATAATGCACATCATCCTCACTCTTCACCTCATTATGTTCCAAAGACCAGGAAGGCTGTGTGTGAAACCTGGTGTTATATGAAGACAGGATGACCAAATCATCTCATCCTCTCATCTGTACCGTGAACCCTTCAGAGGTCATTTGCCGCAGCTGCTTCTCCTTCTACACCTTACCACAAGAGAGCTCAGCATTCCCTACCATCCACAAAGGAGGCTGCAAGCGTTTCCAGAGCTAGGGTGGCCCAAGAACCAGCATTCACCCCATCCTTGTGGCCCTCTTTCTCTCCTATCTTTCCCATATTTTCAGGGTCATCCCCTCAATAACCCCAAAATGCTCTTGGTAAGTGTGTTGGGGACAAGGGCACTTTTGTCCATAGACAGAAAATCAAGGTGCCAAAAGGGGGTGCACAATACCTGTGCTCCTTACACCTACTCACAGGTCCTCAATGAGTGCCCCATGGCAATCACTGGGCAGTTCTGCTTACTCCAACCCTGTGCTTTTATGAGAATCAACAATCCAGCACTTCCACTGAGGCCTCAGTGGTCTCTGTGCTGCTGGACACTCAACCACTACTTTCAACCATTTCCACACAGCCTGCCTGCTCTCTCTATCTGTGCCTGCTCAAGAGAGGGCATTCATGAAGGGCTAGGAACTACAGAGGTGCTTGTCAGCTGACATGGGGTCCTATACGGCTGTCTCAGGGCTATCTCTGACAATGGTCCATTCCATTTTTTGTGGCTCTAAAGGGCTGGAAGCTCGGTTGCTACTGCCTTGGCTTCAGCCCCCATCTGCACTACCCAGCATCCTGGAGTGCAGTCTGGGTAGACTAGAGAAAACAAAATCATAAATACACATATGTTTCTAAGAAAGAGTTTATATACAAGATCTATTGAACATTGAGAAAACATCCCAGTCCAGTCCAGATCAAATCCATAAGTCTGATATTAACCCATATGTCCAATACCAATCTATAAAGTCCTTTTTGGACTCACAAAACAAATGCAATGATGCTGAAGGCAGGAAGATCACAGACCAGTGGGAAGTCATGTGGATCCAGTAGCATTGTAAGCATCTCAGCATTGTCAGGGGTCTCCACATGGCTTCTCCAGGTCCAGAGCTCTCAATGCCATCAGCATAGATCCATGTGTCTTGTCAGTAGAGAGTCTTTCAGGGAGTGAGCAGAGAGAGATTGTGTCTCCCACCTCCAATGAGGAAATACCAGAGTTCCCAGAATTCTCAGGCCATGCCCACACAGAGGCCTCATTGGCTATACAATGATTGACAGGCTAGACCCCACCCTTCACTCTTAATCTTCAAATTGACACCAAATTATGTAACTACTACAAGTACCCATTTCCTTCTCTCTGATGGTGAGATACAATGTAACAGGACCTTCCTTTCTATTTACACGCAGAGTCTACCAGTGAGTCTGGGATCTTTGCATTTGTTACTACCAGACATGCACTCTTAATGCACAAAATATTTGGATAATATTTTACTATGGTAAATAAGGACATTTGGATAATGAGATATTAAGTGAAGAGTAATTATATTTCAATTTCACTGTATATCGGTAAAATGCACCCAGTTTAATCTCTATGTACATGTATGAATGTGCTCTGTGTGAGTATATAAATACATAAATCCAGAAATGTGCTGAGATTTCTTTTTCTGATATTTACTTTGTGTATATTAACTTGAAAAATATAATTCTTTTAGATTTATTTTGCCTTACTAAACTGTGTATGTCACATCCTTTTTAAGTTTTATTAATTCAAAAAGAGGATAAAGAAAATGTGGACTTTATTTGTTTAACAGTAGGAGATGAAAAGAAATCACTTTTAGCTGGATTTAGAGGTATTTACTCATCTACTTTTATTTTTTAATATTTCCTACCTTTATTAAATTGTAATTACACAAGAACATAAAATTATGATAAAAATCAGACTATAAATATACAATATTAAATTGATTTTTCCAGGATATCTTGGCTCACTTAAAACTGTTCAAATTGTGGGTCAGGAAGATAGGTAAACATTTGACTTTTTAACAGATTCAATTAATCAGCTGGTTTGGGGAGCTTATGAAAGTAGTGGTTTAATTATTTGCATAAAGAGGCATTGAGAAGTAAACATGGATGTGTTCTGTACTCTGCATGCATGGTTATAATTATGAAGTGACTTTTTGAATGCTGCAATTGTGGATTTTTAAAAAAATCATAGTTTTTTTTTTTTGCTAACCAATTATTGCAGCCTTTGATTTTTTAAATTATTTCATTAGGACCTAATCCAGATTTCATACCATTTCATAGTTCAATCATATCAAACAGTGTTGTGCAATTGCTACCACAATCAATTTGAGAACATTTTCTTCATTCTTGTACTCCTTCATATCGGCCCCTCCTTCTCTCCCTATCTCTCTTGCTATACTGTGAGGAATCCTAATTCTACTTATTGACTCTATAGATTCATGCAACCTGGTTTTTACATACTGGAATACAGAAAAACACATAACAGAGAGTCAAAAAGGCTACCAACAGCCACAAAGTACAATAGAGATACGCCCCAGTAGGAAAAAACAAACAAACTAGAAAATATTAAAAACCAGGTAAAGCACAAAGTGTATCCAAAGGGCAATCCGATAACAAGGTTGTAATCATTCAAGTCAGCGTCATCACTTTCATCTACTGCAGTTCTCTTCCCAATGATACGGTCTTTTAAATTTTTGCACAATTATTCACAGGACTGGGGATTTCACCCTGAGATTTAAAAATAGTCTGTTTTCAAATGGATTGATATGTGAAATTCTGTTCCAAATGAGAGGAGAAAGCTGAATGTCACAGGAAACCAGTTGGGTATTTTGTTTGCTATAGGAAATCAAAACTGGTGTGCACATTCTAGAAAAATATTAAATTTTTGTCAATTTGGTTATTAATTTATTTTAGAAAGCAAGAGACTTACAAAAAAAAGAAAATGGCTAGCTATAGATGTTTCTTCACTAATAAATGTGATGGCATTCTCTGGCAATTTGTTTTTAAAAGTCAAGAGCAAACAAGAGAAGGCCTATTAGAAAAAGGGGAAAAGTTATAACCTAGTAGCCCAGAAAAGGAAACATCCTTAACTATGGACATCTTCAAATAGACTTATTTGTTGTCATGATGTATTGGGTAACCAAAACAAAGTACAAACCAAGCTCACGGCCATGAGACTGATTCTGAATCACAGAGGTCCTGTAGAAATTATCGGGTTAACCTTATGCTCTATAGGAATTATCTCTCAAAACCAAATGTATTTCCAGCAAGTCAACTTATAGGTAAGTCATATTAACTTTCCTTCCTTTTTTGTTTTAAAAGATCATTTTATTGGGGGCCTTACAGCTCTTATAACAATCCAATAGCATTTGTATCAAGCATATGTGTACCTATGTTTCCATCATCATTTTCCCCACATTTACTTTCTATTTGAACCCTTGGTACAGCTCCCCTTCTTTCACCCCCTCCCATGCTCATGACCCCATGATAAATGGTAAATTATTATTATTTTCATAATTTACGCTGACCACTGTCTCCCTTCACCCATATGTCTGTTGTCTCATGACCCCACGATAAATGATAAATTATTATTATTTTCATAACTTACGCTGACCAGTCTCCCTTCACCCATATTTCTATTGTTTGTCCCCCTGTTGGGTGGGGGGAGGGGCTTATGCATAGATCATTGTGATTGGTTCCCCTTTCCTCCCCTCTTTTCCCTACCTTCCCCTTACCTTCCTTGTATCGCTACCCCCATTTCTGTTCCTGAGGGGTTTATCTGACTGTTGTTATCTGTACCAGTGTACATGCTGCAGTCTAGACAGAACTGAAAGTCAGGACTGAGGTCATGATAGTGGGGGGTGAGGAAGCCTCAAAGAACCAGAGGAATATTGTGTGTTTCATCAATGCTATGCTGTGCCATGGTTGACTCTTCCCTTCCTTGTGACCCTTCTATAGGGGAAGTCTTATTGTCTTCAGATAGGTTTGGAATCTCTGCTCCAACCCTCGTTGTCAGTCTCAACATATGTTTAGGTTATATTACCTTTCAGGATGGCCTGAAGACAGTATTATCTTAACATCTTTGAAAGGAGCCCTGGTGTTAATTGCAAGGTCAGCAGTTTGAATTCACGAGCTGATCAGTTTGAGAAAGGTGAGACTTTCTGATGCTATAAAAATCTGTAGCCTTGGAAACCCACAGGGCCTTTACTACTGTCTCACCGGGTCATTCTGTGCACCTCAGTGCTCCAAGTGACATATATGTAGCAGATGCACCCAACGCAATGTGTCATCTGATCTCTTCACTGTT